AGCATTCTTACTTTACAGCATTTTTTCACACCTGCCTAAAACTTTTGCACAGTACTATATGAAACATGCATCTTCATTTTGTATCATGTCTCTGTTGCCTCTAAAGTTTCTTGGATAGAAATCATAGAATCCTGGGGCTGGAAGGGACTTTGGAGCTCTTCAAGTCCAACCCCCTGCCCAGGGCAGGAATCTTCATCCCATTCTGGACAAATGGCTATCCAGTCTTTTCTTGAAAACCTCCAGTGATGGAGCACCCTTGACTTCAGGAGGCAGGCTGTCCCGCTGCTTAAGAGCTCTCACAATTGATGGGCAGGAATGGGCTTGAAAGGGATCCAGTTAAGAAACATAGAAATAATTTACAGGATCTGCCACTTTTGACAATTCTTTTGCAGAAACACCGTGATGGGATTTTAATTCCAGGGCTGCAGATGCTTCCAGAAGAGCCAGGTTTTCAAGAAAAGTGTCCTACAGAAGACCACAGTTGCAACATCAAGCCTCTGCTAGATCCCACAGTCTGAGACCAGAGCTCCAGAATGCTCTTCTATCTTCTTCCTTTCTTTTTCCGGCTCCAGGGTAACATAAAAACTCCTAACTTTGTTTTTCCATTACTGGAGAGTCAGAACTCTTACCCCTTCTCTTCTACGGTGAATTTACCATGATAAACAGCCTTCCTGCCCAACCTGGTAGCTCCCAGTTACCTTGGACTACAAGTCCCATCATGTATGGTTAATGCACTGTGCTGGTGAAGGAACGGAACTCATTGTGAGAAAATACCTAGGCTGTTTGCTGTTGATCTGCAGTGTAAGAAGCACCTGTAACTGAGAATGCTTCCAGAAAGAGGGTTTCTTCCTCCACTGATACAACAGTCTTGCACAACCTCTATTTTTCCCTCCTCAGTTGGATTTTGGAGGGAGGGGAGCTAAAAAAGAGAATGATGACGTCTCTTTCTCTCCCCTCCTCCCGAAATGAAATTCACAAAACAGATTGATTGCCTAATGCATGCCTTGTATAGAATTTCCCTAAGTATTTTTCTTGCTTTCCTGGAACAATGCATCTCTGTTTTCATAGCATTAAGTGCAAAGACTTGTAGATTTTAAGGTGTTCCTCCAGACCCTAATGCTATGCGTTTCTTTTGGGGGGGGTCTAGGTGCACATGGGATCAACAGCTACAAGGAAGACTTCCGCTTCTGTGCTGACCGAGTGCAAACAGTTAAAGGCCATCTCCGTTATGAATTCCAGAAGGACGCCATCACTATTGTCAACAGTGTTGATGGGCTTAACATAAGTGCCCCATTCTCACCGGGACCTCAGCAGTCCTGGGTGTTTCCTGAACGTTCTGGGAGATATCGCTTCTGCGTTTACTGGTTTCAGGACACTCACCTTCTCAGCCTTAACTATGGAATTACCAAAAATTACACCCTGAGTAATCAAGCTGATTATTCCCTCCCCTCTCCAATTGTCACCTGGAAGGAGAACGACGTTGGAAACAGGTTACTTTATAGCGTCTCCTATGCCTACAACAACGGCTCCTGCAATATCTCCCTTCCAAGTTTGGCCGGATACAGGTTCTCCTTAAGTGAATTGCATCCAGGCAGCGGGGGACCAGGTATTCCAAGCCAAGGGTCAGGGGAAAAACAAAATAACATTTAAATCCATGAATTAAATGCAGTGCATAAGATGAGTCTGGAGCATCCAAGGTGTGGGGGTCAAAAAAGTCAAGATGGCAGTCGCAAATGTGCATGATCAAGGCCCTGCCCCTTTGTACATGTCTGTGACATTGATGATGTCAGGGTTACAAAGGCTATTATGAGTGTTACTGTATTTCATTGTTTCTGTATGGACTGTTTTGATTACTGCATTATTCGGTACTTGTGTGTTGCTGCTTAGCAACTGCTCCAGTTGATTAAAGCTGGGGTAATAAATATTGGTGCCACACCTTCTTTGCAAATGATTCAGAAAATGTGTGGGGGACCTTGCTTGAGCACAGTCGTATTGATTAAGAGAATGCAGTATTTTTAGGGCTTCAGTGTGAGTCAGAAAAAAGGGAACGGATCACTGCCTTCCGTCATCTTGACATTTTAGGCTCCCCTCCACCAGGACTCCCCCGGCACAGGAGGCTCAGCCTGCTTTTGTCAAAATGGTGAAAGTGGCATCGGGCTGTCACATCGCAGGCTCTCTCCATGTGAGCGCAATGTCATGACGCTCACACTGAAAGGGGCGGAGATGCTGCTCTGGCCATTCTGCTCCTCTTTGACCACCCAACCTCGCCCTGGGGCACTGCTGGTGCCCATACCTGATGTGGTGCTCCTTCTGCATCAGCCAAGACTACATAGGAGGAGCAATGGCCGGGCTCAGTGTGGGAGGGTGGAAGCCTGGGGCATTGCATGTCTCAGATCAGTCCTTGGGTGGGGAAAGATCACAGAGAAGCTGATTAGAAGGAAGAGAAGGAATTTCCTGGGAGACAGACGGAGCATTCCCTCAATAGAGAGCGTGTGGGGGTTGCAGGGGGCAGGGGGACCAAAGGAAGGTACAGTTTGCATAATATACTTGGCCGTAGAAAACTAATCACAGGTAAAAATAACCCAATTTAATTTGTTGTGCCTAGTATGTTGTGTGAATGCAGTTCCCAGAACTTGCTTGCTTGCTTGTTGGATTTATACGATTGCCCATCTCACATGAGTAACCCTGGGTGGCTCACAGTATTAAAAATAATAAAAATATTAGTTAGCTGCCTGGCCTCCTTATCTGTTCTGTATATCCAGAGAAGCTGATTCGAACAAATTATCAGAATGGTACAAAATCTCATATGTTTGCACAATTTATTCTGCCCCAATCATAGTTAGGATTAAATATTTTTATCGGACACTGAAACCCTCTCCCTTCAGTGCCTTCCCAGAATTCCCCAAGGGTCTTTTCAACCATGAGAGCTTGAAACTGCTAGTTGTGTCTTAAAACAACAGCTGCGATGTTCAGGATGCTGATTTTTTTTCTTTTTTTAGCCAGTGCCATTTCCTACCCTTTCACGGAATGAGCCTTGGTTCAAATCCCACCGAGAGGGCACTGCCCATCAGTGAGGCCCTTTCAGTTTACTTTGCTGGTTTGCTTTGCCCCACAGAATCTGGAAAAAGGGACCAGAAGCAAAAGTTGGTCCAAATCAGCGATGTGGAAAAAGAAATGAGAGAAACGGAAGAAAAACTAAAGAGCTTAGAAACATGTCCTGGCTGTGGTAAGAATGTGGCTTCAGAAGATCCCTTTTTGTGAGTATATGTTTGCCAACCTGCATTCTTATTTATTTGTATTCATAAAGGAGGCACTGTTTATTGGCTGCGAAATGGAGTGGGATGGAGTAGGGTGGTTGGAAGCGCTCTGTGCCCAAGCCATTTGTCTTGTGTGTGTCCTGAATCCTCCATCTTTGGGGATTAGGGCATACTTAGTATTTGGAGGGTGTTCTAAATAGCATCTGGAAATGGTATCTGTGTATGGGGTGTGTAGTGAGACACAAAATGACTGCGTTGGAGGAATGGTAAGTGCAATCCTTACCAAACTCATTGCAGTTCTTTGAATCCACAGGTTTCTATTAAAAAAGAAACCTGTTTCACAAAACCCAAGCCCATTGATTCCTTCAATCACCTCTTTAAAAAATTTCCAGTAACATTAATTTACGCCATTTAATCTAGTTCTTGAAATTGAGTAAAATGGATCTGGGTGGTCTAACAATCCATAAATTCCATAAATAGACACCCTCCACCCATTAGCTTTCCTCTTGATCATTGGTCGCTAAAGTTGGCAAGAAAGGGGAGTTGCTGATTCAAATAAAATCAAGTTCATGGTAAAGTGGGAGGGTTGGAGGTCTTACTGTTGGGGACCCCACTAAAATTCCAACCTGGGAAAGGTGGAAGGAAAGAGAAGACGAGGATGACCAGCAGCAAGGGGGATGGACTCAGTTGCAGTGGCGATGGGGGCACTGCTGGAAAACCTGAAAGACCGGGTTCAGGATAGATTGTCATGGAGAAAATCTATCTGTGTATTGCTAAGAGTTGATGCTGACTTGAAAGCAGGTTATCTATCTATCTATCTATCTATCTATCTATCTATCTATCTATCTATCTATCTATCAATGCAAGACCCAGCACTCTTGAGAAGTCCATAATGCTGGGAAAGGTGGAAGGGAAGAGAAGAAGAGGATTTTTTTTACATGTTTATTTTAAAAGAAAACCCTGACCTTGCTATATGAGTGAAAAATTATGTATATCTTGCAATGGCGCAGACTTGTTTGTTTTTGAGGCAAATGTACTGCATGTTTATTTGCAATTATTGATGTTGCTTGTAAGCTTCTTATTCTGAAATACTCGGAAAAAACAAAAGTGAATAAAACTTGGGAAGAGGTAGTCCTTTGATCTTTATCACTATAGAGCAGTGTTTCTCAAACTTAGCAACTTTAAGACATGAGGGCTTCAACTCCCAGAATTCCCCAGCTGCTATAGAATATAAGCAAACTGCTTAGAAAACTGGGGGTGGGGGGATCATCCCTCAGTGGTAGAAGATCAGGTGCTTTGTGTGCAGAAGGATTGGTCCTCAACATACCCTGTAGATGACTAGTAATAGGTGATGGGAAAGACCAGTATCTGAAACTCTGTCACTGTCACTGTCCATCACAGGAGACAGTATTGCTGTCTATGAGATGGGCAGGAAGTCTGGTCTGCTATTAAATCGGCTTCCTATAACCTTGCATATAAATTATGTTTGACCGTATTACCAAGCAAATGCAGAAATCTCATCTTACTTGATATCAGAAGTAGGTTTGAAATAGGAGCTGAATGGGAATCAAATGCACAGATGTTTGGAGAATATCTTCTGGCTGCTGGATGGCAACATTCAGAGACTGCTTGAGAACACATTCTTGCACAATCTTGAGGACCGAACATGCTATGATTTACACATTGTGTTTAGTTATGGTTTGTCTTAAATCATGGATGGTTGAAGCAATGATGGCCGGATTCACACATAAGGCTAACCCATGGTTTATGGATCACAACAGTTGGGTCCATTTAGCCCAGGCAAATTATGGTCTAGTGTAGTGGGTGAATTTGGCTACTGCTGGGCTAATAAAGCCCAGAGAAGTGGCAACTAGGGATCTGTGGAATAATGGTTTGGAGCAAAGTATTTCCAGCTTCATCCAGCTCTCCCATCCTCAATAGGTACCTGCAGCGTTTGGAGTCAAAGCTGGGAGAAGTGGAATTCCAGGGAGATCACAAGACGTTTGAGGGGACAGCAGTGCATGCAAATGTCCAGAAAGTTCCACTTCATATTCCTGAAAATCTGCCCATTGGGGTTACACTGAAGGTGAGTTGAGCGTCGAAATGGTACATTTGTCAAGTTCCAGTTCATTCCACTTTCCCTTTTCCAGTTGCACATTTGTTCTGTCCTATTTTGTCATCAGTTTGTAAATTAAAAAACAGACCTGCGAGAAAACCTGTATGCGTTTGCATGGTTATTTATTATTTGCCCTCTCTGCCTTGTGAGTGTGTTTTAAACACCCCTTCTGCATCTCCGATAAATAAGTCTATATGAGTTAGGGACTGGCATAAATTCTCTGCTCTATAAATAAAGATTCCAACTTTCCTTTTCTAAGGTGGGGCCTATTTTCTTTCTGCAGGAGGACAAAGTAGTCCGCAAGTTCCAAGTTACTCTGCCAAAAAAAGTCTTTGAGAAATCCAGAGATGGGTCCAAGAGTGGGAAGATGAAGGTCGTGGTGTTGGCTGCTACAAGTGAGACCCTCTTCCAGGTAACGATGGGGAGAACAGCTTTGGTGCCCTTGATACTGATCAGTCTGCCTGTTTAAAAAGCAAAGAATTCTGTGGAACCTTGGAAACTAACTTATTTCATCTGAGTGGTTGCACCAAGAGTACCAGATGTTCCAACAAGTTCAGAGCAGATGTTCAAAGCTCCCCCCTGCCTGTTTTAAAGTTGAAGCTTCCTTCAAGTCAAGCTCACCTCTTTCTACATCAAATAGAAGTGAACAGCTGCGTTACAGCCTCAGTCTAAAACGAGAGAAAACGTACATTTCCTCACTAGGTTTCAGAATCTGCACCAAAATTGATGAAATGTTAGCAGTGCATGCTGGAATTTCTTGGTTTAGAGTTGTGTGGTATTCTTTTTTCACATCAGATAGAAATCTCATATGTTCTATAAACTGAGCAGTTTTTTCACATGCATCAGCAAAGTTAGTCCCCTGGGAAAGTTTTTTTGTTTTTGTTTTTTTGGTGAAGTTGACAACTCTGCAACAACCCTAGTTTGAGATGTATTTGCTCAGAAGGTAAAGTCTTCTTCAGGCTGAGCTCAACTCTGGTGAATTTGTTGTAGTTTTCTTGGCAACAGGACAGAAATAGTTTACCATTGCCTTCTGGAATTTTTTCTCCTGAGTTCCCAGTCTACCCTGGAATCCTGAGACTCCCTGGCTGTCTCCCATCCAAATTCTAATCAGACCTGGCCCAGCTTAGCTTCCCAGGCCAGATAGGACTAGCCAGGTAGTGTCCCCTGCTGTGTATATATGGTGGGTTATAAGGAATTTGGCTTAGTTATTGAATAAAGCCTCAAGGAAGGGGGAGGTTCCTCTCCAAGTTGCTGCAATGCTTTGCTGTCTCTCTCCTGCAGGTTCTGCTTCCACTCCCCTGGATTAAGCCATTTTTAAAGCAAAATTCTTAGTTATGCAGCGGGTTCTTAGATTGCACTAAGTCAGACTTCACAGGGACTCTTGCTTCAGTTCTGCTAATACACACACTCTTGATGTCCGGAAGGAACTGACTGCTGAGTTCCTCTTAGGCCCTGCATCTGGCTGCCAGGACCTCAGATGGCTCGTGCTTTCCCCAAACCTGGATTTTTCTCCCACAATGAGGAATTTTGGGGAAAGTGTCTTTTGACTGGCAGTGGAAATCATTATTTTGGGGGCCATAAACGTAGGTGGACTCATGTTCTTCTGTCAGTTTCATTGGAAAGAGAGGGAAATGCTCTCTCCTTTTCTCCAGTTTGCTTATCTGGAGATAAGCATTCACCTATATGTGAATGGCCGGCTTTGCACAAAATATTAGATGAGACTAAACATGGGGGTGGCGTGTGATTTAGCATGTTGTGGAAATATAACCATTGTTTTAGTCAGTTGTGTGAACCTGGCCATTATATTAAGCCATCATTGGACTTAATTGGTTGAGGAAGTCATCTTTTGAGTTCAGGAAGGGTCGTGTCCAACCTTCCCTCCAGGTGGACTTCATCCTGTCAGGATGAACCTAGAGGGCAGAGGAGCCTTTTCTGTCTAATCTTCCTTCGGGGATGGGGGTTGTCCTAAAGTTAGAGTTGGTTACCCTTAAGATAAGTGTGGTGTCATTGGGGAGGGGTTGGAATGTATAGAACTTCTAACCTCATGTTTTTCAACTTTAAGATGTGTGGACTTCAACTCCCAGAATTCTGGGAATTGAAGTTCACACATCTTACAGTTGCCAAGGTTGAAAAACTGTTCTAACCTATTCTCCAACAACACTGTAATAGTGTTCGCATGACACGTTTAATCTGGCTACTAAAGTGACCTACTGTATTTTCTGATTTTGCAAAATAAACGGAATCATTAATTGGGCTCAGGATCCTAAGCCATAAAAAAACTGACCCATTTTTTAAAAAAAAGTTTGCCTTTACTTTTCCCCCATCATATAGGACAAAGGGAAAAAAAAAGAATAAAACAGAACAAAGAACAACAATTATTACTGTTGAAAAGACAAAACGTGAGGATCAAGCAAGCCAACCATATTGCAGATTACAAGAAGTAAAATTACTCAGCTTTGGTATCAAGCAGATTTCTGCTGAATAAGAAATCGTGTGGTTGAGTAGTGCCTGGGAAGAAAGTGTAGAACACGATGCCCATGGATTCTGACAATGTGCATATGTGAAAAAGTCTTTGTGGAACACATCAGATGTTGGGTGTGTCCTGAATTAATGCTAAGGTTTGTGATTATTTAAATCAACTTATGTATGTATGTTTAGGTATCCAACTTTCTTTCTGGCAGGATAATGATTCTAATTCACTCCTTGGTGGAAATGTGATTGGCATTTCAGTGGGGAACACGCCAGTCCACGGGTTGCCCAAGGAAGAGCGGATATCTATCACCTTTTGGCACCACCTCCTTCAGGTAGGTCTGAAATCTTTTCTTCCCATCTCCCTGATGCTCACTGGTGGGGTGAAAGAAACCTGCATCAGGATTTTTCATGGGCTACCTTGAAAGGCCGTGAATGAATCTCATATGAAGATGGAAGCAGCAAGCTCCCATGAATTCAGCGGTGGGATGGACTAGGTCAAGGACTATGCTGTGAGTCATTTGTTTCTATCAAGCATGGGTTCTTCACTTCTTAATCTGATACATGAGACTGGTAGTCCAACACATTCAACAAGGAAGTGGATAAATCTGTTCATGATATCCAGTGAACATGTAAATTAGCCTTGAATTTCTAGTGTGACTTCGTTACAAATTGTTCAGTTCAGAAACACAAAGATGTAACTTTGTTTTCCTGACTATTTGTGGAGTTGCTTTACTAACTAATCCTTGGCCTCCACAACAGAAATCAGAGAAAACATTTCCTATGCACCGGGGTGCAGTGGAATTGCACCTGATATCTAGCATATTTTCCCCACAAG